AATGTGCTCACCGTCTGTAAACTTGATTGCTTGAAGATGGACAGGGGCGTGGAAATGGCCTGAGAGGAATTTCTCTATGAAAAAAAAAACAAAAAAAAAATGTGGGGATGGCCGTCCTATTTGTATTTTTTGAATTGATAAAATAGACTATTGTCATTGTCTTGACCTGAGTGATGTTGTTGTGTGAGTAAAAGGCATGAAGCTCACTGTCACGTTTTTGTTTAAAAGCTTGTTATTTGTATACTATTTATATTTATTCCAAGTGATTTAATTAATTGTATGAATTTGTGTTACATGTGCAGTATTTCATTAATTCGTAATACATAGACCTTAGACTAAAATTAGTAGAATTTAGTGTTCCTATTCAAATATCAGAAATCGAAATGATATTTGAATATTCACATTAATTAGCATATTCGAAATTGGTGTCAAATAATTTTAAATATTTGAATATCCATAACACTTTTGGATATCATAACACTTTCGAATATCGTAACACTTTCGGATATCGTAACACTTTCAAATATCGTAACACTTTCAGATATCGTAACACTTTCGAATATCTGTAACGCTTTTGAATATCTGTGTAATAAATCATGATAAATGTAACTATTTATGGAAATAAATAAGAAATAGTCTAAACATTATAGTCAAACAAATTATTTATTTATTTTACTATTTAAGTTTAGAAACATTTGGATTGATGATTTTTTAATCTGTAAGAAAGTGTTTGATTTGTTTCTTACAATCCATAACTCTTTCAATATCCATAATATTTATTTGTGATACATATTTGTTGATAAAATTTCCTCAATTAAAAATGTCTTTGGTAAATGATAACAATAGCATTATTTTAATTAATGATAGAGAAGAAACAATTTCTTATTTTTCGTCAGAAGAGTCCATTGCAATGATAGATTTCATAGACCACCAAATAGAAAAAAATACACAAAACATGGAAGACCTAGAGAAAGCTATATTTGGGATCATTTTATTGAAGAAGGAGATGAACGAAAACAAGGAAAATTTTCCACTATTAGCAAAATTAGCTAGAAAATACCTTGGTATATCTACAATGTCTTTTCCTGCAGAACAGTTATTTAGTGATGCTGGAAACCATATTACACCAAAGTGTAACAAATTAAAACCTGATAGAGTAGAAAAGTTATTATTTTTAAAATGGAACATGAAATATAATATTTTTGAATAATCATCAAATATAAACATTCATATACATAAATTTCGAAAACAAATGAACTATTTTTCTTTAGTGTCCAAGTTGTGTTAAAGCAAGGCATCTCAAATTGGCACTAAATGATATTTTTTTCAAAAATTTCCATGAAAATTTTGTCTTTTAAACATCAATAATGATCAATTATCATGCATACATGCAAAAATATAGTTTTTTATATTTTTTTAAAAATTTATGTTACATTAATAAATAAAAAATAAAGTATATATATTAATATTATAATTACAATATTATAATATCTGAAAGTTATGAATATTTGAAAGTGTTACGATATTCGAAAGTGTTCTGGATATTCGAAAGTGTTACTATTACAATATTCGAAAGTGTTACAGATATTCGAAAGTGTTACTATTACGATATTTGAAAGTGTTACAATATTCGAAAGTGTTACAATATTTGAAAGTATTACGGATATTTGAAAGTATTACAGATATTTGAAAGTGTTACAATATTTGAAAGTGTTACAATATTTGAAAGTGTTACGGATATTCGAAAGTATTATGGATATTCAAATAAGAATCAAAAATCGTTTCCATAAAATTACAAATATTCGAATATGGAGTTAGAGATACGAATAGGAACACTAGTAGAATTTCATGAAGATGAGCCTGAAGCAGGCCATAAAGCCCACAGTGGACTCTTTGACCCGTGTACAAAGTGGGCTTTTAAGCTCAATGCAGGCCATAAAGCCCAACGCGGGCCATAAAGTCTGGTGCGGGCCATTAAGCCCAATGCGGGCTTCATATAATTCAAAATGTATATAAGGAATGGGAATTCGCTGTAGTCAAAGAATAACTTTGTAACAAATTA